ACTTTTATCTACAAAACTATCAGGTTGTTTCATGTAAATTTTTTCACTTAGATCACCATGTAGGAAAGCAGTTTTAACATCCATTTGTTTTAATTCCCAATTAAAGTGAGCAACTAAGGTAAGCATGATCCTAACAGTAATATATTTAACCACAGATGAGAAAATTTCAGTGTAATCAATCCCTTCCTTTTGAGTGAACCATTTTGCTACCAACTTAGCTTTAAATTTAACATTTTCATTTTCATTTTTGACTTTGAAAATCCATTTGTAGTCAACAATAGAACAATTTGCAGGCGTAGGAACAAGAATCCACGTATTGTTAACATGCAAGAAATTCATTTCACCACGCCTTGCATTTAACCATTTTTCAGCATGTTTAGATTTAAAAGTTTCTTCATAGGACTTAGGTTCATTTCCATCTAATGTCTCGAACACACTAAAAGCATAGGAAGTCAAGTCATATTCATCAAATCTAGACGGTTGCTTAGCGGTTCTCTTAGTCATATCTCTCGTCAGTTGGTAGTTTTCTATGTTCTCATATTCTGATTTAGAATTTTCAGCATTAGGTAAGGCATTTTCAAGCAACTTATCATGAGAATCAGATTTGTCATGCAGTTTTTCAGAACTTTTCAATTTATTTGGCTCCACCTCATTAGAAGTAGAGTTAATTTCAGTTTTGGCACATTCAGACAAGGCATCTCATTTTCATTAAAGGTGACGTCTCTACTAATTAGTACTTTGAGACCTGGTTCATCTTTTAACCATAGCCTATATCCTTTTACTTCTAAAGGATAACCTAAGAAAACACATTTCACAGCTCTAGGTTCAAGTTTATCACCTTTATATAAAGCATATGCAGCACAACCAAGTACTTTCAAATTTGAACGATCAAGTTTCTTACCCGACCAAACAGATTCAGGACACTTACCCCCAAGTGGCACAAAAGAAGATCTATTAATTAAATATGCAGCCGTAATCACAGCTTCCCCCAATAAACTCTTTGAAAGACCCAAGGAGCTTAACATGCTCCTCACCCTTTCGATTGGAGTTTGATTCATTCGTTCTGCCACCCCATTTTGTTGGAGTGTATAGGGAAATGTCTTATGTCTAGTTATATATCTGATTTAGACATAATGAATCAAGCCACTTATTCAAAACTCAAGACCATTATTTGTTCTAAAAAATTTAATGCGCTTACCTGTTTGGTTTTTTATTAACTTTTTCCATGCTTGAAAACATCTGATTTTTGTTCTAATAGAAAAATCCAAAATTTTCGTAAAAATTCATCAATATTGACAAAAAGTAACGACTCCCACCTTAGGAACAAGGGTTGGACCCCACACATCAACATGCAAATATTCAAGCATATCCTTACATTTAGACACTTTTGGGCCATGAGACAAATCAAATTTTACCCTATATTGCTTACCATAAACACATGAGTCACAAAAAGACGGAGTAATGTTCTTATCGTTTCCAAGAAAACCATTTTTCTCTAAGATTTCAAGACCTTTATCACTAAGGTAACCTAATCTTTTATGCCACAATTCAGTTTTATCATTAATAACATAATTCACATTTGGCATGCAATTTGGTTCAGCATAAACAACGTATAAATTGTTTTGTCTAACAGCCTTAAATGCAACAAATGACTGATTTAAGTCTTTCATAACACCATTTCCCCATTTTCCAATTAATCCACTTTCATTTAGTGCAGCACATGAAATCAAGTTATTGCACAAATCAGGAACATGTCTAACATGTCTTAAGGTTAGCACATAGCCAGAGTCGAACTTTAGACAAATATCACTTATACCAACAACTTTACAAAGTTTTTCATTTGTCATTGAAACACTAGCATACGAAATAAACCTATAGTTTGAAAACAAGTTTCTCAAAGGAGACATGTGGAAAGTACATGCAGAATCAAGTAACCACTCATTAGCACATATAGTATTAACATCAACACAATTTCCTTTAACCATGAAAACATCTCCTACATATTCATTTTCTAGTCATATTAGCATGATCATTCTGTTGGTTTCTAAAATTCTTAGGATGTGACATTGCTTAGCATAATGATTGGGTTCCTTACAGTTGTGACACATTCTGTTCTTAGGCCTAGATTTAGATCTAGATTTCTCATTGCTCTTTTCCTTATTTTTTGATTTTCTGTGTTTTTTCTAACTTGTGACCTACCCCTAGTAAACATCACTGCATCACTAGCATGTTTATTACTTTTATTTACATGCAAGTCAAGTTCTTTGCTTTTTAATCCATTCATGACAGTGTCAAGATTTATACTATCTCTGTCATATTTTGATAACAGACTTAACATCGGAATAAGAATCAGGAATTGCATTCAAAAGAAAAATATGGGTATATTCATCAGTATTCTTATCGCTTGTCTGTTTTATATCTTGAACTAACTTTGTAAAAACATCTAAATTTTCATCAATGTTTCGATTCAAATCAAGTTTAAATCAGAAAAATTTTTTGAGTAAAAACAGTTTGTTTGACAAAGATTTTTCCATGTATAGCTCTTCTAATCTTTCCCACAATTATTTTGTAGAATTAAGTCTTCCTAGTTTTCTAATCACAAAATCAGATAAGTTCCAGATAATTAGAGAATAAGAACATTAATCTATTTTAGCATTTCTTTCATTAGTCATTAACACATTATAATCACCATCGATTGCTTTGGAAACTTTTTGAGTTACTAAAAGTCCTTTCATTTTTTGTTGCCAAATGGAAAAATCAATTTTTTCATTGAATGGTGCAATATTGAAAGAAGACACAGGCGACATTTTGACAAATATTTCACACCGTCGCATAGAATGGCTATTAGTGGTCAATTACCTACTCTTTTTTGGAGCAGCGTGGTACGTAATAGCCAACTCACGCACACAACCAAGTGTCAGGCAAGAATTAACTAACTATCAGTGGTCAACTACTTACTCACTCTTGGAGCAGCCAGTTACGTGATAGTAGTGTCACACAATTAATTATACATAAACATCACGAATACCCAAATATTTTCTAATACATAGAAGTTCAAGGGTTAGCCATCCGTTACTGATTGGGGCAATTTTACCAATTTCTGTTTACACATAGGATTGCAAATTCAACCCGTGTTCAACTTTTTAACCTTGCTCTGATACCAATGTTGTGATTCTCGATCTTCTTGAATGTTGGGTGATCTGCACAGATTCTCAACCAAATAATTAGTGCGGATAAAACTCAAAGGTTAATAATATAAAACAGAAATATATATAAAAAATTTAAAAAAATTGTTCAATTGATGAAGAAGGCTCAGATCGCAGCCACTCATTCGCCAACTCCAAGTCGTCCTACGAGGTAACCCACGAAGGTGTCGATTGTGGTGGTTCCTAATATGAAGTAACCCAAGAACCCTAGAGTGTTCCTAGCACAAGTAGTGTATCAGGACAGAAAAATTATGAGGGAATTCGATAGGCATAGACAGTAAGTTCGTCGCTCACAGAAAAGAATATCGAACTGGTTCTCTATTTTTCCGAAAACCCCAAACCCATATATATAGAGGAGAGCTGGATGATAGATCCCAAAAGAGAAGGAAACAACCTCACCTTATCAACGGCCAAACAGACTCGATCGATCTAGAAGAAATAGGGATAAACACCGAGAGTGACAGAACAGATTTATGAATGATTCAAATTCGAATAGAATGGGGAATAGAGTGGATCAGTTCTGATTTAAGAAAAGAATTAAAAAATCAGACAAACCGGATCGGTGCGGGTTGGGGTCGGACATGGTTGGCTCGGGTTGGATCGATCGGATCTGGGTCGAGGTTGAAACACACCAACAATTTCAATAATTGTTTGAAGATTAAAGTGCATTTAGAGATTCTATGGTTTCATGTCTTTGTAAAAAATAATTGTATGTGTAATGGTATTTATGTAATTTAGGTAAAAGTTAAAGATATTTTGGTATTGATATATAATTATTTTTATTAAAATAGAAAATAAATATTTAGAATGAGATAGACAAAAATAATAAAAATAGTACTTTGAGTCAAAAATAATAAAAATAATACTTTAAGTTAGGATGAAAGGAGTATAATATTCATTCACTCAAAAGTTTACGTTCTCTAGTCAATTAGGAGCCGGATCTGAACCTCTCTGAATAACAAAGTAAGATTTGTGCTTGAGAAATTCATTTAGAGGCAAGCTAGTTATAGAAATTAGCAATTGTGGACTACTTTCATCCATTTCCATCGAAAAGCAATCAATCATACACATAAATTAACAATTTTCCTCACCATTTACAATATATTACCGAACCAAAAAGTTCTACTAAAAAAATATATTAAAATCAAATGCTTCTAAAGACTTTTGGTAATTTTTTTATACAATGAACCCCACAACAAAAAGTAAATTACATTTGTGTATAAAATAATTGACCAAAATTTTTCCAAATTTAATTACACTGGTTCGTTCGTGAATACCTAAATGCCGCAACAAATATTTACTACCAAATAACTACTTCACCCTCGAACTAAAACCTGACAATTCCATATAGAGTTACTAATCTTCGAAAACTCTAAGATGCATCAAGTTTTGCCGGAATGCCAGTGGGATGGCGACGCAGATTTCGAGAGAAAAAGAGAGATCGGCAACCGAGGAATAGATGGGTGTTCAAGATTGGCAAACCATGAGTGAGCAAATGACGAGTTCGATTTTGAAGTCGCCGGTTCCTTCCTTTCCGATAGGGAGTGCAGTGCAAGTTTTTCAAAATAGGGACTGAATTCAAAGGATTTTGTGCAAATAGGAATTTAAAACTAATTATCCCATGAAAAAAAAAAAAAAAAGTGGTAGTATATGATATTTGTAGAAAATTAATAAATTAGTGTAATGATATTTTTGTTGCAAACTAATTAATAGGGTGTATTTGTTTGGCTTTTTCAGTTGTAAAGAAATAATAAATAATAAAAAAAATATTGTAAACAAATCCAACCAAACATGTCCAGGGATTCTTTGCAGATATTCAACAACACAAACAATAGAGACAGAGTAGTGATATTTCAATTCAACCTAACAGCAACAGCAACAACACCTCATCTTCTCATTTGCTCAACAACAGAACAGAAGAAAAATACCAATTTAAATGCAGAATCGACCAGCACAGGACTAGACCTTATTATTCTCCATTACAGATTTCAGCAACGTTTCTTAACAAACCCCACACTGATACCTCAAGCAGCTGCCACAGTTTCGGCAGGCTTTGTTTGGGGTTCCACAGCTGTTTCAGCAGCAGGCTTTGGCTCGGCTGCAGGCTTTGGCTCGGATTCTGCAGCCGGCTTTGGCTTGGCTTCTTCCCAGAACGATGTTGCTTTGCCTGTCTTCGAAACAGTTTGCAGAACAGCTTCCGGCTGGACATTCCCCTTCACCGTCACCTTTTGCTTCTCCATATCTATGTCGAACGATTCAACGCCTGCGCAAAGATATGTGCCGCCGATTGAGAAGTTATAACATCTTTCTTGACAGATGATGAATCAACATATCATTACTTTCATCAAATATATAACGAGCCTTTGCTCAAAACCTATGGTAAATAGAATCTTTAATTGAGAGACAAAATTGCAGTTTTGATCCCACCAGAAATGCTTATTTATTTCAATGTTAGTCCTACAAGAAGTTGATTCAATAATATGATGATTTTCAGGCTCATGAGAATGACATGCAAAGCCATCTAAATGTTCGCGTTTGTTTGGTTGTGGTTCGAAATTGGGTATTAATTAGAGATTTTGTTTAAATAATATTTTGATGTGATGTTTTATGAGCAATGGTATATTTTTATTGGAAATTGTGCGGAATGAATAATATTGATTTGAGTTTCAAATAGTATTGAAAGGGCATAGGTCTTGCATGAAATTTCTAATCAGCCAAAACAGTCTCAAAATTACAGAACTAAACTTGCTAAACATTGGCCTAGTTACGACCAATTTTATTCATGATGTGACTAAACTCGGAAATTCACTATATCATGACACTAACTTTTGATCCATCAAGATCCTAAACCTGTGCGCTTTCTCGATAGTTTGTCATAAACCAAGAACCACATATATGCAAAATAATGCACTGTTCAGAAGCATAACAGGACATGGCAGCTCATTAATTCTGTGCTTTAAGATGAACTTCATCTCCTCTCCTTAAACATTAAGAGTACCGTCCCAAGTGAATAAGACACATTTAACATAAGGGTTCATGATTTAAATGCTGGTAAGCAAAAGAAAATCACATTGCGGACATGAGTGCCTATTTCAGAAACTATGCCAATTTTTTTACAAAAAAATGAATATGACACCATTTCCTTGGAATATGCATATATCCACATTTAAAAGTTTTTTGTTAATAACAAACGCATAAACACACTATAGTTTAGGGTAGCCCATGTTCACATGAAGAAAGGCGGCTACATATTAGGCCGGTAACCTTAATCTGCAGACTACTGCTTTCCAAGGATTATTTGGTATGAGAATAGAATCTCATGTGTGAAATTTCAAGGAAAGATATAGTGATACACAAATACGGAACAGCAAGTTTAAAATCATTGGTATGACTACAAAATTTAGTGCATTGGACTATAAACAACCATAAAATGAGCTCAAGGGTGGGAGTCCATCCCCTAGGAAGTTTTTTTCAAGGAATGATCAAGTTAGAACAAAGGGTGATTATTGTCGATTTCTAAGGCCAATTTCAAACTTGAAGGGTGAGATGGGCTGTTATAGCTACTAGCCACTCGCAGTAGCAGAAGAATAGAAATGTTTTCCCTTCCATTTTCTTTCGATTCTAAATTATAAAAATCTCCGACAACAGAAACCATCACAACCATTGATGTTCTTTTATTTTTCATTCTTCAAGTTCAACCAACCAAGCTAGCCATTAAAGGATTCCAGCAGAGGCGGAATCACTAGATGCAATTAAACAGATACAAGAAATAAGCTAGCATCCAATTCTGCCTAATTCTCTTTATATTATGCCTAATCAAGAATCTAACAAATTGGGATAATTAATATATGCAATGCATTAGAGTTTCTGTTAGACTTCACACAATGCAACAATTTTCCAATTTCGATAAAGAAAGAACTTCAGTTATATTTTATGATCATCAATACGGATAGCAAACCTTCCATTTTTCCGAGGACCCTCTTGACTGCTCCAACGCAGCCTTGGCACGACATGCCAACCTTGAGCTCAACTGTCTGAAATTAGGGGACGGAAGACATTACAAGATTAATCAGAACAGAATCAATCAATAAATCGGAAATTAATGATCAATCTCCATCGGATCGCTTTCAAACGTAAATATGTATGCAGTTGTTAACAAAATCAGTTCAATTACATTTCCACCTTCATTCAAAAACATGAGACGAAGAAAAAGACCAAACAAACAATTCAGCGGAAAATATATAAATCCAAAATCTGATAAAAAGAAAACTAATAATCGAAAACATCGAATTTCAGGTTCCATCCAAAATCAAGCACAACTTAAACATCATCAAGGAACGATTCACCACATCGTTTATACCAAAGCTCAAAGAACGAAAGATCCTGACCTGAGCCATTGGGGTGGTGAAGTTGATCGTTTTCTTTTTTTCAAAGGATGGGTTCGCGAAAAGTCAGAGGAGATTGCGATGAGAAGTTGGGGTGCGTTGAGAGCAGTATTTATAGAAGGTGAAAAAGAACAAGGAGAGCGAAGTTGACGGGCAAAATCAAATTAGGGTTAGATTTGATTTGAATTGAATATAATTGAATTGGATAGGGAAATGGAAAAGCTTAGGATGTTGGATTATTGGTGGATTTTGGTTGACCAAGAAAGAGTGGGGATTGATTGGGCCACACCACCACCACCACCATCGTCGTCGTCATCATCATCATCATCATCGTCGTCAATTCATCATCCACCACGATTGAAGATTGATTATTGTTGTGATATTTTCACGTTACGCAAACGCAGACGACAGACAACCAATCGCCTCCTTCCTCCCATACAAAAACATGGGACGATGCTCTCTCCCAATCTCTCGTATTCTACTCTCAATTTTAAATATTCTCTTCACTATCGTGCGATCATTTAGTCGGACACAAATTTTAAGAGGAATAAATAAAAATAATTTTATTTTGATAAAAAATATAAAAAAATGGCTATTTTTTTACTATAAAAAAAATTATAATAAATTTAAATGATAATAAAAAAAAAATTAAAAATAAATTTAGATAATAAACGGTATTAGACTATAGATGTGGGGTTTGTTTATTTTGTTTTTTTATTTGAAAATTTTTTTAAGGTATAAAAAATGAATAATATAAAAATTAATATTTTATATTAAATATTGATTTTTATAAGAAGATAAAATATATATTGAGATATGCGTTAACTAAAAATAATTGGTGAATAGATTACAAATTAAAAAATCATGATATTTTAATATTAAAGTAAAAAAGTATAAAAAGTAAACTAAAAATATTATAAATAAAATTATTAAATAATTTGATGAAAAGATAGTAGAATAAATAAAAAAAATATTGCATATTGTTATTACTATTTATTAAAATAATAGTAATAAAATTATTTAATGTGCATAAGTACCATGACAAATAAAATATATATATATATTTATTTATGAACTAATCTAAAATAATTTTATAAAAATAAAATAAAAAATTTTAAATATAAATAAAAATATTTATTTATTAATAAGTTATTAATACTAATAAAAGAAATTTGAATGAATATATCAAAAATAGTCCTTAACATATTAGAAATTTAATTAAAATAATTTATATTTATTAAATATATTTAATATTGATAAATTTATTAAAAAACAAAATATGACAACTATGAAGGATGAATATAAATATCTTTACAAATATTATAACAAATACTCCCTCCGTCCCGAAACTAAAATTTTATTTGCTTTTTATACGTAATTTTAGAAATATTAATATTATATTAGAATATAGTATGAATAAAATAGAAATGACCAAAATAACCTTATTAGTATGTGTGATATAAATGTAACATTTGTGTAATATTATGTAAGTTGTAAAGGTATTTGTAATGTTAGGTAGATAGCACAGTTACTAAAAAGGAAATGAATACTTTGCTATGGGACGGACTAAAATGAAAAAATAGATACTTTATTATGAAACGGAGTAAGTATATATTTTTATCAAACATAACATTATAAATTAATTTTCTATTATATTTATATTTTTAAATTTTTTTTGAGTATTTTCTACAATTATTTTTATTTGAATTATATTTAATATTTTTTTTATTAAATACCACATCAAATATTATTTAAATTGAAATTTAATTTTAAAATTTAACTAAAACTTTAAATATATATACATGTATATTTAAACAAAGGTTTGAATTCTCGTAAAAAAAAGTAGTAAAAATAACAAATAAAAATAAAAATAAAAGTAAAAGTAAAAAACTTCATTTTAAATCTAGATGAATACTTATAAATCAAACTTTGTTTTTATAAAAGTTTATTTAAATATAATATTATTAAAAGTGCTGTTAAATTATAAAAATGACATGCTAATATAAATATATTTTTATTAAATATTTCTAATTAATTTTAATATAAATTATATTTACATTTTTAAATATTAATTTAATTGATAATATATTTATTTATTAAATTCTATATATCAATTATAATTATAATTGTAACTTAATTTAATTATGATAAAAATCAAAATGTAATTAACTTTAAATTTTACTTTACAATTTATTTTAAAATTTTAAAAATTATATTATAAATATTACATTATCTATTATACAGTTAAAATTTATATGTTTTAAATTTGATATTTCCATTATATTTTTAAATTTTCATAAGGGTTTGTTGTTTAGTATTTTTAGTTTGAAGTATATTTTTTTTATAAGACTAATGAAGAATTGTATTCAATAATATAAAAATAATATTTTATATTAAGTATTACTTTTTTATTAAAAATAAATCGTATATATTTTTTTGTTTAAAGGTGTTGATAGAGAATCATCGAATCGTTGCTCATTATTAATATTATCATAAAAATATGCAATACTATTAAGTTAAGAATTATAATTTACTCCCTCCGTCCAAAAAAAAAATTGTCTTTGTTTTTTCATTTTCGTCCGTCCCAAAACAATTGTCCTATTTCTTTATTTAGTAATCGTGGTCCATATTTTATAACAAAATTATTCATACTTTTCCAAACTATCCCTAATTATTACTCTAATCTATTTTTTAAAATCCTTCAAAAAGTAAGGAGATTTTAGTCTTTTATATTATATTTTATACATACTTTCAATTAAATAATATTATTCTTTAATTTTTGTGTCTAACTCCCAACAAGGCGCTTCTTCTGGGTAGGAGGGAGTATAATTTTGTATATTTAATAAATTTATTAGATATTATATTATCATCATTACTTAATTTTTGTACATATAATCTTTTGTAATTACGAATAAGAGTTTTTTTATATTTTAATTAATATTTATTATATTTTATAAATTTATTATATGATTAATACTATTTTTATTATTTATTTTTTTATTTAAATACACTATTTTTTTTGTAATTTTTTTTTAAATAGATAAACCAAAAAGATGTTGACAAAAAATCTAGATAAAAAAAACAAAAGAAAAATTTTACTATTATGATAAAAAAATATTTTTAGTTTTTAATTTTTAATTTAAACTTAAAATATTTATGCATTTATTTAAATATAATTTTTTTTATATATAATTTTTTTTTTTTGTTTCAACGTGATGAATAGGGAAAAAAAAATTATGCAGAAGAAAAATAATACTTTGTGTTTGTTTTCTGTTTTGATATTTTTATGTGAAATACGAAGAATTGTGCAGGTAATATAAAAATAAAAAGTAGGTGTAATATATTAATTTTCTGAAAAAAAAAAGGTGTGAAATTTTTTTGTTACAAGAACATAGATTATTTTGTGTAATCGTACGTATATATTCATTTTTTTAACATATTTTATTATTTTACTTAAATAATTATAAATTAAGATTAAGATAACTAATTAGTTTAATTAAAATTTTAACAAAAATAAACTAAAAAATTTAAAATGAGATTAAATTATGTAATTATTTTCCAAAAAGGAAAATGAGTGGGACGGACAGAAACGGCAACATGGATATGGTATGTGGGACAGAAAGTATTAAATAAGTAAAATATAGTATTCTAAATTTAATATTAAAATATTTTTATTTTTTTTTATCGTCCATAGCACATGTATTTTGTTACTATATATTTATATATAATTATTATAAATTAATTTTCTAACAAAATAAAGAAATTACAATAATATATAAACATACTTATTTATTTAAAAAATGATAGAATTATAAGGTTATAAATTATCATAAATAAATGTTAAAAATATTAACCACACACTTGTTCATGAATTTACAATTCTGATTTTTTTTTTAAAAATTATTTTATCATTTTTTTTTTATCATATTAAATAAAGAATTAATTTTATATTTAAAAAATCATATCAAATAAATATTTTAATTTAAAAAATCTTACTATTTTTAACCTCAAATCTAAAGATTTGTTTCGTTTGGATAAATTTGAAAGATTTAGGTTTGAATTTGAATTGAATTTAAATTTGAAATTTTATGTTGTTTTTTATTTATAGGTTTGGTTTGAGTTGGATGATTTTATTGTGTATTGATTTGATAAATAAAAAAAATAATGACATAAAATATATATTAAATTAAATTTATAAAATTAATTATGATAGTAATTTGAGTATTATAATAAAATAATATCATAACTTACTATTATTTAACTTATCAATCTTTCTTAATAATATATATATGTATATACATATAAGTAATACAGTAAATATATGATATTCCTTCTATCTCACTTAATTATTCATCTTTGTCTAGATATGTGTTGAGATATTTTAGATATTCAGATTTAGATTTAGTAGATTTATATCTAGATTTGATCATATTCATAGATTAGATTACTTAGATTTGAGTCTATCGAGTCTGTTTTCTATTGCCTATATATAGACTCCTTATTTTGATGATCAACAAAGATAATCTCATTATTTTTTCCCAAAATTTCTAACAACACGGAGTTTTAGGTATTGAGTAATTGGTAAATAATTTAAAAGTATATTAGACAAAATCATCCCATTTATTTACGATGATCCAAACTTTCTTCTTTCAGCTGAAGTTGCCTATTTGATCGAATAGGTCTAGCTACTGACTATGGTACACAACTGTCATTGTTTACACATCACATGTGGATTAGTGGATTTCTGATAGTTGGAGCTGTTGTGCATGCAGCCATAAAGCCATACTGCTCCGTGGGCCTCATAAATGGCATGAATGAAAGCACTTGGCGGAGAATACTAAAATTTTGCTTACCACCACACAGGTTGTTCACGCCCAGGCTGTCATGGATTTTTTTGAGGTTATGAGCGAAAATATATTATAAGCCCTATAAATACATGATTAAAATGTATTTTTAAAATAATACCATTGATTGACGTCTGTTGGACAAGATGTTGAACGTAACAGTTTGGACAATGTCAGTTTGAGAAAAAAAAGATGAAAGATGATCTATCTGTAAGTTTGGAAAGTGAAAAGAATTGAAAGAGGGTGAAAGAGATAAAAGAGAAGGTGAGACGGGTTTGGTCTGAGTTGGTGGACACAATACGACATGACGTGAAATAAAGAAGTGTAAACGACAATTAAATTTGAAAAAATAGGGTGTGACGTGTCAAGAAGAAAAAGATAATATATATATATAATTAGGGTTTAAAATTTAATTTTAAAATTAAATAGAATAATTAAAATTTAATAATATTAATAGATAATATTTTAAAATATAGACCCTCTATTAATTAGGGGTCTGAGTAGTGTTCCTGCTATAAGTCGCTCATGCGAGAAATTCAGCCACTTTGGAAAATTTTG